CTTCTCTCATCCATTTTACTGTGTTTTGTCCTTTCCAGTTCACACTCTGGCTGTGCTTGTAATTTTAGAGATGTGCTAAGTGGCCTCTTGTATTCACAGCTTCAGCTCTACCTCTGCCTGGGATCCTTTTCACTTAACACCTTACGTAGAAGTCACCTTCCTGCATTCTACACAAGCTGGCCCCTTTCTTCCCTAAATTACTCCTCACATCATAATACTTCCAACCTTCTCGTGTATGTATACTATGCATATATGTGAAAAAAAGAAGGAACCCAATAAAGTCCCCCCACACTACACCAATACTTCCTCTGCTTTCCTTCACAGTGGACCCATTAGGGGCAGAGAACACGATACTTGGTTCTCTAAGGCTGCTGTCTAACACATCTGGCATACTGTACACTATGAGCATGAGATACTCTTGTAGAGGGTCTTACAATGCTTTCAGTTACCAAATGGAAGTTATGGGCCTTGCACACAACTTTGTCAATTATCCTGCCAAGTCCAACTTGTGATTTGGAGCCAATGTGAATGCAGGATGCTTGGCCTTGACCTCACATGTACTGTGTGTCCCTCCCTGAGCCCTAAAGTCTATGAAATGCAGGGAATGCTATTACCTAGGGGAATATGAAGATTAAATGATGCACATAAAACCTGAACAAAGACTCAGTACCAATGCTAGTAAAGAACTGTACAAAGCAAATGAAAGAAAGCTGTGGAGACCCACGTGGATTTCCTAGTAAGATCTGAACTTGCTTTATCCAGCAGGGCTGCATAAGGGGATGACTTGACCACATGCATGGTTACCAGGTGTTTGGAAGGGTCTGCACTTGGCTGTGCAGTATGCCTAGATCTAGCAAGGGGGAGGTATTTTGCCCCACCCCTTGGCATTGTTACAAAAAGCCCTTTTGAAGAAACAGAAGGTGCAAGTGGATATTGATCCAGGTCCTCCTGAAGCTATCCTGTGTTTCTGTCTGTCTCAATCTCTGATATCATTTTTTTGTACAAGTTTCTCATCACTCTCTCCTCAAGAGTGCCCTGGGTAAAAGTGGGAGCTGGTCTCCACAGGTGGTGCCTGCACTAGGGACTTGAGGAAAGGAGAGTAGGAGGCATTGCAGAAGCAGTGGGACATGTCCAGTTATGAAATATGAAAAAGTAAAGGTGATGGTATTCTATTTTGGGGAGTAAAACTGTATATAGATCAAGCAAAACAGCTGAAAGAAAAGACAAAACAAGTAGAAGTCACGCTGCAGCAAGTGTCTCTGTCTAGGTCTCTCTCTCTCTCTCTCTCTCTCTCTCTCTCTCTCTCTCTCTCTTAATTTCTATCTATGAAAATTAGGAAAAATATAGGGCTTAGGTATAGGTATATAGTGTAGGAAAAAACAGGGTAAGGTAGAAAATCAGCAAATACAGAGGAGCTATGTCCTTGGTTTTCCAACTGTGGAACTCTGGATGCAAACTCCTGGATGAGAATCGAAGTCAAAATGCAAAAATACTATGAGGAAAACAGGATGGAAAAGATTCCTGTGGAGGCTTTTGGCCTGTGGACAGCTTAGAGCTGAGTCCTGAGCAGCAGAGAGAGAATTTTCCCTGAGGTGGACAAAAGTGAGACAAAACCCTCTGCTCCAGTGCCACTGGAAAAAAAAACGCTTGTTGGTAACATCATACCACCAGGGTCAGTTTCCTCTTGGCCATGAAGCCGAGTTTAGGGAACGGAAGTCTTGGGGAAAACTTAGTAAGTTCTCTTACTCAAAAAATTGGAAGCTTTTCAGGTCTCTTTTCCTTCTGTAGAGGCAGAATTAGACTCACCTGGAGGGAACATCTATCAGAATGGGAGAATCCCCTATAATTGCCCTAGCACAAAAATCCCCTGGAGCATTGCAAGCCCTCAATGTTAGAGATGTGTCTCCTCTTCAATCCAGCATTCAGAAAGCAATTAGTGGAGGGCCAGGAAGTAAGCACCTCTGAGTTTGAGTGTGTTCTGGGGACACCAAAGTCCCTGCAGTCACCAGGAAGCATCCCCAAGGGCAGAGGCATGGCAGAGGGATCTGGGGGAAAGCTGCTGGCTGACAAGACACCAGGGGGTGAGCCCTGGCATGGAGAAGGTAGAGGAGGCTTTGAAATCCTCCCTGCAATGAAAACAGCAGGTCTAAGTCCCTAGCAGCAGCTGCAATGGCAGCACGGGGGAAAGCTGAGGCTGTGTTTGGACATACAAACAAGGCAGAAATGGATGCAAGCCCCTACCACGAGAACAGAAAGTGACTAGCAGAGCCTGAGCAGCAGTAGTGGTGTCAGGGACTCTGCATCTGGGGGGAGGAGACAAGCAAGGACTAAGGAGATCTATGGGGGGATCTCTCTGAAAAAGCTCTTATTTCATTGTTTTGTTTGTTTATTTTTTGTTTTTGTTTGTTTGCTTGCTTTTTATTGACCTGGTGAGGTGGGGAAGAGGGGAGGGAGCGAAGCCCCAAGGGATTTTTGTTTCTGGCACCAAGTGCTGGTCTATACATGTGTACATGTGTGCAGGCAGCTGTAACCAGCTGTGCAGGCAGCTGTGACCCGTTGTGAGAATGATGTCAGATGGAGAGTTTGATTAGAGAGGTATACCTGTCAAACAGTAATACAGATATCCTAATAAGAGCTCAGGAAAGAAAAAAACCTCCCATAGCAAAGACCAAGAGCTTGATCTTGACTTTCAGTCCAAATACAGACTATGTAAACAGAGCCAGGAGTGCAGCAGCAGCAACTGGCCATGGCTGAGTTTTCTCCCTGACTCACAAGGGCTGCTTGAGAACAGTAGCTCATAGCAGAGGGGTGATGTTCAGCCATGCAGCATGAGGTAGGAGAAAGCCCTCAGGGACTCAGAATGCCAGGGTCTCTAGGCAGACAGGCCCAGAGAAGGGAGCCACAGACAGATTGGGACAGTAAAAAAGCTGAATGAAGCCAGAATCCAAAGTCACACAGTTTCTGTTTGTTGGCTGAGTAGAAAGCTTAGAAGCCTTACCTCCTGAGGCCTGGAAACAGATGAACAAAGCTTGCCTGTTAGGAGGCAATTAAAATGCTAATGCCATCTGTCAAGAAGCTTTGAGACCCTTTAGAAAGCAAGGGGAAAGTGGTCAGTACATTGGGAAGTTGCTTTGGGTATGGAAAAAGCTTAAGAGTGAATAAAGAACTTGAGTTGTCCTTGAGATGCAAGAGAGGGAACCATTGGGCTAATAGCAATCTATCAAAGACAAGGCATCTTTGAAAGAGCTCATGGCAGTCTTAAGATGCAGCTTCAAAAAATTAAAAAGCGGGAAATTAATTGTACCCTCAGTCATCAAATGAAGCTTGGCCCGAACATTTGGTATGAGGTGTAGAATACAGGAATGTCAGCTCTGATACCATAGCTGCTGACATTCCTCCAGAAAAACTAAAATGAAATAGAGCCCAGAGCCACACTACTTCTAGCACCAAATTAATTCATGGCCCCTTTAAGAGGTTTCCCGAGTCTTACCCGTGGAGCAGAAAAGGGGCTTGGTTACTATGGTAACCATCCTCGTCCTGGAAGCAAGGTTCCCAAGAAGGACTGCCAAAAAGTGCTGCTATAGCTAGGAGTGAAGTTTCAGTAGTGCTTTGTTTGAATTGTGGCACTTGGGGAGCTACAATGAGTAAAGGGACAGCCCCCTGGCTAGTGACCATCTGCCATTGTGTGCTCTTCTGCCAGTTCCATAATGGCTGGAATGGCCTGGCAGGAAAGGTAGCTTTGGGGGAATGGCATTGTCCTCAGTGTTACAGCCCCCTAGGAACAGCACTCACCCATTCCCAGGGTCAAAGGAGCTGGATACAATGACTCTAGGGCCATTAACGAATTAGGCTCTGGTTTCAAACTGTCAGTTAAAAAATTGACTCTGAACTCTGAACTCCAAAAATTAAGCAGTTTTGAGTTCATCTGCAATTTTAACTGTGGTGACTCATGATTCATGTACTCTCTGTCTTGTTGGAAGAAAATGTAAATAGTTCAGTTAAGAGGTCTTTTAGATGTTTGCTTAAGTTTTCGAAGTAGTCCTATAGAGTTTGCTTTTGAATGTAAGTTTGTAAGAAGTGTAAACATGTATCGTAAATATTCATCCTAGTTGTAAATATGTATAGTAATGTTCATACTAGAATTATGTTGATATTAATGAACCATGGTTTGGTGAAGTTAAGGGAATCTTTAAGTTTGATGCAGTTTATTTGATGTGTTTGCATTAAGAGTTTATTGATTTTAAAATGCTTGGAACAGCTAAGGCTGTTATAGACATCTTAGACTCATTCAAAAAAGATCATTCCATCTTTATCATCCTCTACTCCTTTACTGGGGGGTGTGGCAACCTAGGGATCACTGTGGTTGTTCCATCTGCTTGCAAGCTCTTAGTAGGGACCTGAGTCAGGTCTGAATTAAACTCTGTACCCCCTCCTGTCAGAGGCTTATAGTCAGAGATGGGCAACGCTCTTCTTCTAGCATCCAACCTAAGACAGAGAGAGTACACTTGGTGGAAAGTGTATATCTTTGACAGGTAAGGTTTGTCAAGCTGAAGATGACCTAAAGCAGACACAGTATCTGAGGATCTGAGGAGCCCTTTATTATATTAAGAGGGGAGAGCTGTGGAGGTCCAAAGAAGTTTCCTAGTGAGATCTGAGCTTGCTTTACCCAGCAGGGCTGCATAAGGGGATGACTTGTCCACATGCATGTTACCAGGTGTTTGGAAAGGTCTGCACTTGGCTGTGCAGTATGCTTTGATCTAGCAGGGGGGTGGTCTTTTGCCATGCCACTTGGCATTGTTATAAAAAGCCCTTTTGAAGAAACAGAAGGGGCCAGTGAATATTGGTCCAGGTCTTCCTGAAGCTATCCTGTGTTTCTGTCTGTCTCAATCTCTGCTATCATTCTATATACAAGTTTCTCATCCCTCTCTCCTCAAGAGTACCCTGGGTAAAAGTGAGAGCTGGCCTCCCACAGAAAACCCCTTACAGAAAGTATTACTCACAGAAGCCAGCAGCCGTCCATCTTCCTTCATAGCAAGGTACCGGTTTGCACATACTCCCTTGATAGACACAACCCCTCTCTCTTCCGCTTGGAGTTGTAGTTTGACTGTAAACAACAGAGACAAATTATCTTTATGGCACCAGAGAGCAAATAGAAAGCCCCACAATACACAGAATACACATATACCATACCATACACCACACATACACACCACACACACACACCATACCACACAATACACACAACATACATACACAAACACATCACACACACCACACAAACACACACACTACACACACACAACACACACACCATTCCCACAACCACATTACACTACACACACAACACATACACACACCACAAACACTACACACACAGACACACACTATACACACACCGTAAAACACACACCACTCACATATCACACACAAACACACACATATACTACACATCACACACACAAACACTCATACACTACACATACAACAACATACCACACATAACACACCAAACACACAAACACATACACAACACAACACACATTACACACACACTCACACACACACACACACACACACACACTCACACCTTCCTACCAAGGTGCTGATTCAGTATGCAGATCAGCAAGGTAGAGAAGGAGCTGGGTAGACATCACTTGAACTTATCTAGAAAGGAGGGGATGCAGAGCCCTCATGCCACGCCCGATCTGCACAGAGGACAGAGGATGGAAAGGATGGAGAACAATTACCCTTGCTGGCCTCATTTGGCCCTGTTCACCATTCATGTTTTTGAACAGTTACATATTCCACTCCTGGGCATATACCCAGAAGACTTTACACTCTCCCACAGAGAGACTGGTGTGCCCATGCATAAACTGCAGTTCTACCCACTACAGCAAGGAGACTGACCCAGACCAGGTGTCCTCAGCAGATAAATGGATATTACTCCTCTGTAAAGAAAGAATCATGAAAATTTCAGGAAAACAGGCAGAGTTTTATGGTATAATATTAAGTAAGGTGGCCTAAACACAGATGAGAACAAAACTCTCCTGTTCTCCCTCACACAGATCCTAGTCTATAATATGTAAGTGTGTGTGTGCAAACAGGAGCAAGCGTGGGGATAGTGTACAAAGAAGAATGAGAGGTATTAGGTGAGGAGGAAAAGGATGCACGGGACACCTAAGATGATGGAAGGCTAAGTTTTCTAATTTCAGTTCTGTCATAGTTTTTTCCTGTGGTAGATATGTGAATAAAAACACAGCTGATAATGAACATGTAAGACTCTAAGCAAAACTCCCTGGCTTCAGAATGGCCATCCTAACCATAAAGAGTTCACTGAGTTTGGACTGGGAAAGCACTCGAATGCCTTTCTTAAACCAGCCAGGTGGTGGTTTTATTTATGAGTTAGAAAAAAGTTTTGGTGTTTTTGTTTTTAATAAAATAAATGCATTTTAAAGCTACAGGGGAATGAGGACATTTGTAAGATGTCTGTGCAACTGCTTAAACATTCTTAAAGTCATGTTTGGCCAATTTTTTCACAAATAAAGAGCAATCCAGTCCACAGCTATTCCTGGAGCCATCTTCCTGGCTTCCTCACATCTTCTTTCTACCTTACCTTTCCATTTTCCAATGCATTATCTTTCCTTTTGAGGGACTTTCTGTTTAGCTATTCTTATTTCATAATTATCTTGTGGAAGCCCAACATGGTCACACACGATTCACTCATACAGTGTGACCTACCACACTACATATTAAGTAGACTTCAGGAAGACAAAACCACATATTACCTGAATATCATAATGTGATGTGGACAAAAACTTATCTAATTAATTAAGAGTAAAATGAAGTTAAACATTTCTATTTTGCTACTTCAAGGGAGCATTTACCTGCTAGGATAACCTTCCCCAAATGTATTTTGGATAACAAATGTTACCTAAAGACAAGCACTGAATGTTGGCATTGTGGCCCACCCCTCAGGGACCTGCTCTGTATCTTGATGTAAAGCCCCTTTAAGAGGACAAAACTCCTCCCCCTCCTTCGTCCCCTTTCCCTCTCTCTTCCCCATGAGGCTGCCTGCTTTCCTTTCTCTCTCTCCCCTATTATAATAAACTTTCCACATAGATGTGTGTCTACACAGTGTGAGTGACTTTCCACCACTCCACGCCACAGCCCACCGCCGCGTCTGCATGGTGTGCCTCCTTCACCCACTGGGCACCCCGGCCCAACCCTCCAAGGCCTCCTGCACAGGGTATCATTACATTGAAGCCAAACAAACTTTGTGAATTCTTTTTGTTTTTGTTTGTTTGTCAAGACAGGGTTTCTCTGTGTGTAGTCCTAGCTGTTTTGGAATTCTTTCTGTAGCTCAGGCTGGCCTTGAACTCAGAGAAATCCACCTGCCTCTGCCTTCTAATTGCTGAAATTAAAGGCGTGTCCACCACCACCCGGCAATTTTGAGAATTCTTAACAAAACCCAAAGCATGACAAAATACTGGTGGAAGCAAATTAAAGGAAGAAAGGTTTGTTTTTAGCTCAGGGTTTCCAGCATGCAGTCCATTGCAGCGGGGAAGGCATGGAGGACGGTTCAGTGGGAGCCGGACAATGTGACAGCACACCTTCCATCTTGGTAGATCAACAGGACCAGAGACAGGCCCAGGCCCAGCAGAGTCCCCAAACAGCGCCCAGCTGGGGACAGAACAGTCAATAGGCAAGCCCATGAGGCCCATTTCAGACTCAGAATAATACCCAACCTTACTGCCAAACTCCTCACAACGTTGCCCAGTAAAACCTATGATGTAAGTCATTATAACAGGGTCAAGTACAGAGTGTTCAACAAATGTGTTTGGTCCCAGAAAAAAGGAAGTCATTAAGTCCTCTAGCACAAATAGCTCCTGGGTCCATCTGGGCACTACCAACAGGAGTAGAAAAACTCGATGAAAGTTCAAAATTTTGGAAGCCAATGAAATATAATTATAAGGTAAATTTAATTTCCCTACAGTTACAAGCAGTTGAGGAAACAACACAGAACAGCTTCTGAAAGACTCTAAAATTATTTAGATTATTTTAATTATTTAAATTGCTAGATACGACTATGTTGCAATGATTGTATCACATTGTTTTTCCTCTCAGGAAATAATTATATACATAAAATGAGACCTAATATAAGAGATTAGCATTAAAATACTCTGGCAATACAAGTATCTATATGGAGTAGGTAGGATAAATAAAACACAATGGATGTGTTTCAAATCTATGTGAAACATGATATTTCATGATTCTTCTCTATCTTATGTATGTTTGAGAATTCACATTAAAAAATAAGAGTTCTGCTGGGCATGTCATTTCCAGCTCTCTTTGTACAAGTCACCCCCGGCTCCAGAGACCATTGGCCTAGTAAAGGACACAGTTACCCTGGCCAAACTCTTCTACTGAATATAAAATATAATATAAAATGAAGAGAACACAATCAAAACACAGAATCTAAACAAATAGTGGGAAATCTCACACTAACACTGGGAAAAGCAAAGGAGCTAGATTTTAATACTATTATGTGCCAGTCACCAGGGCAGACCCAAGGTACTCCAGAATAGGTGACCTGAAGATGTAGGCCTCTCTAGCTTGTGTTGTGTGCAAGGCCATGGCAGGTACACAGCCTGTCACCAATCTTCCCCTCTGCTCTGGTCAACAAGCTCTCCCTCAGTTCCACCTCACCCTTCCTAAAGTGCATTTCCAGTTCCAACAATGACTATGGTGTCAATGTGTGGATAGATCAGTGTTAGCCTCAGGATAAGGGTCATCATTCATGGTTCTTTACAGACCTCTCAGGTGACACGTGCCTGGATGCTGTCAGCCATTTACCCACTAAGCAGTGGGCATTAATTGTAGAGGCTTAAAAAAAAACTGGAGTTGGATATGTCATAAAGGCACTCAAACCGATATATTAATTCCATGCAGTTGATCTATTCTCAGAAGCTGATGCACAGCCATGGTCATCCCTTTTACCCTAAGGTGTTATCTGTCTTTGTCCTTGATGATGAAATATGTTTCTTGGATGCAGATGAAAGATAAACCTTGTTTCCTGACCCGACCTGTCAGTTTGTGTCTTTTAATTAGGGAATTGAGACGGTTAATATTGAGAGTTATCGATAAGCAGTGTTTCTTGATTCCTGTTATTGTATTGTTACGGTGAGGGTGGAAAGATGCAGGCAAGTTGAAAGTGAGAATAGATGGGGAAAATGTGAACTCTTTAGCACATGCTGGTGTGGCAACACATGACAACTCAGACCAAAGCAACAGGTCCAAGCAGAGGTGACCAGTACAGTCCACGGTGGCACGAGGTCAGGCGTTTTATACAGGTAGTGTACGGCAGAAACAGAAACTGACACAGAGAATGAATGCATCAATAATATGGCATTATCAATATGCTTGGCCTTTTAGATAGGGTAGACATCACATAATATATCTTTATCCTGTTAGCACCACAATCATTTGTTTCAACAGAATGTGTAAAAATACTAACCCCACCAGTATGGCATGCCATCCTTACTGATGTGCCCACTGTACTTGCATGGTCCAGATACACGATTCTCCCCAAGAAGTTTTTTTCTTAAAATCAACATGCTATTCAGTGACATTGAAGGCTGAGTAAATGCTGTCAGTAAAAGAGTTTAACCTAACATAAGGACCTGCGCTCCAACTCCAGAACCCACATATAAAGCAAGACATGATGCTATGTCCTTTTAATCCCAGTCCTGGGGAGTGAGAGACAAGCAGACTCCTGAGCTCCATGGCCAGCCAGCCTACTTTACCCAATGAGATCCAAGCCAGTGAGAGACTGTCTCCAAAAAAGATGAGAAAACAACTCACAGCAGAAAAGATTATAATTTGGCTCATGGAGTCAAAAGACTGAGTCGGTTGATGTCCCAGTGTGAATTTCTGTCACTGTCATAAAACAGACCCAAACAACTTAGATGTGGTGGTTTGAATAAGAATGGGCCCCAGAGACTTATAGAATTGAATGCTTGGTCACCAGGGAATGGCACTACTAGGAGGTATGCCCTTGTTGGAGGAAACGTGTCACTGGGGGTGGGCTTTGAGGTTTCAGAAGCT